AGGATCTAGGATCTCATGGGTCCCATTAGTGGATAGCCTGGAAGACCGTCTCCTGGATAAGTCTTTTTCAGAGCAGTTTTTTGACTTCTCCTGGGCTAGAAACCATTAAGAAAGTTGTAGTCCAGAGGCTAACAAACAATTCTGCCACTACAAATTTCCGGCCCAGTTGCCTGTAACAATCTTACTTTTGGAATGTTAGATTAATGTTGTTTCCTACTTGATATTATTTTAAGTAAAGGCAAAGTCTCTCTGCTAGAACAGAATTTTATATCGAGTCCCTATCTTGACAACTAATTTCTATTTTGGAGCTTCCCAACATGAAAGTCTGTATTTTAATTTCCAAAGTCAATTAGGTTTTAGTCTGAACCTTTGGGGGGGGGGGGATTGAACTCGACACCTTGCACTTACGAGGCAGGTGGCAGAACCACTGAGCTATAAATCCCTGCCCCCAATTAGGTTTTATACAAGCCTTATTTAGAGCCATTACAAATCCTTTTTGAAGCTAACAAGATATTTTTCTAATCAATAAGTAATACTTTTAAAGTTTCCCTCAGCATATGAAATGTATCCCTTCCTAAACCATTAAATTTCCAGAGGAATCCAAATCAATCAAGTTTGTGAAAATGAATATGACAGCACTGAGCCCAACACTAATACAGCTTGTGTCTCTTCTAGCAAAAACTCCTAATTCAAGCATGTCCCTTTTGCACAGCAAGAGAAACCACCAACAGAGTGAAGAGACAACATACAGCGTGGGAAAAAATTTTTACCAGCTATTCAGATAAAGGACTATTATCCAGAATATATAAAAAACTCAAAAAAATCAGACTTCTCCCCAAATTTAAAGACCCAATCCAAAAATGGGCATCTGAAATGAACAGACATTTCTCAGACAAAGAAGTAGAAATAGCAAATAAACATATGAAAAAATGTTTAACATCACTGGTCACTCATGAAAGGCAAATTAAAGAATGTCCCACTCACATTTGCTCATGTGATCAATCATTAGAGCCTATAAGGATAGACAGGGGAAGGCCAGGGATTTAGCTCAGTGGTTCTGCCACCTACCTTGCAAGCACAAGGACCTGAGTTCGATCCCTGGTACCAAAAAAAACAAAAAAAGGATAGACAGGGGAGACTGACCAAAACAATGGCAAATTCCAGCCACACATACACAAACTGGGAACTCACATGAATTTTTGTCAAGTCGAGGCCGTTTTAACGGGACATCACTTCCTTTTGATATTTTCCGTCTTCTCAGTTCCAATGTTATTGGTTGTAAAGTTTGAGAGTTTGAATCCACAGCTACAACATACAGAAAACCACACAAAAATATGTAATTTTTTTAAAATGTCTGGTCTTACATTTAATATGTAAATTATATTCTATATTAAATTATATTACACATGCAGCATCCTCAGACTCTAAAAGGAGAGGGGCAGTCTTAAGATAAAAGAAAAAATGAAATGAAAGAAAGTACTTCCTTTGTGAAATGTTGACACCTTGCAGACTGACCTGCTGAATCTTTTTGTGGTGTCTCCTATGACAGAGCTCTCCTAAAACCCTCTCCTTAAAGCACCACACCCCAACATGACCTGTTTAAAAATATGAAAATGTGTCAGACATGGTGAATCCCAGCACTCAGGAGGCTGAGGCAGGAGGACTGCCATGCATTCTTTTGAAACATCCCAGGAAAAGTGTAACAGGAATTTTCACTGTAACAGTGGAATTGAGAGATTAGAATGAAACCTAAGGGATGAAGTTAACAACTTAGAGAGGGTGAGGCAGAAGTGATTCCAGGTTTCTGATCTAAGAGAATTTATAGATAATGTGAAAACAGGCCTTCAGATTCCCATGCAGTGTGCGATAAAGCATAATGAAAAGAGCATAGGTTTCTGTAGGTCAGGTTTTAGAATGTATCAAATCGAGGTTCTTCTGCATACCTCTTGTGTGATCTTGAGTTCACAACCTAGCCTCTCTCATTTTCAGACCATAAGGGGAAAAAATATATCTGAGTTTAAAGAACTGTACTGAAGTTTCAACTTGATAAGGTATCTAAAGTACTTAGTGCTTTGTACATGATATGTGCTCAATGTATCACAGCTTTTTTGTTTTTTTTGGTACCAGGGATCGAACCCGGGACCTTGCGCTAGCAAGGCAGGCAGCGCAACCACTGAGCTAAATCCCCGGCCCTATCATAGCTCTTAATACTACCATTATCTCTAGATCATGATGGTAAACAGGTAGCTAAGAGTAGACTGTATCTTGTATAAGAAGAGGGATGAAGACTGGATGGGGCCAGTCTGTGTTATACAGTGAGTTCTCTAAGACAGCCTGAACTACACAGCAAGACACTCACTGTCTCTTAAAAAAACAAAAAAAAGTGCATGGGCAATAGTAAAGTCATTTTTATCACCATCAAATTCCACCAAAATTCACCTATCCAGAAGAAAAAAGAGAGAGACAGACAGACAGACACACACACACACACACACACACACACACACACACACACACACGGTCGCACTCAGGAAATTCAATTCACCATGCAGGCTATAATTCTAAAATGTGTATCACATAAGTAGGGCTTGGTTACTGTTTTCAGTCTCTACTTGTTAAATTAGCCATCACTGGCTTTAGTTCTGAGGGTCAAGAAAAGAATGTCAACATTTAAAACCAATCCCAGAAGCTGGGGGTGGTGGCACATGCCTGTGATCCCAGAACTCTGAAAGCCTGAGGTAGGAAAACAGCAAATTCAAGCCCAGCCTGGACAACGTAGAAACTTAAGGAGATCCTGTCTGAAAAAAAAATTTTTTTAAGTCTTTGGATGTAACTCAGGGCAAAGGCCCTGGTTTCAATCTCAGCACTACCACCACCACCCACTCCCTCCCAAAAATTCAAAATCTCAGGACACTGCTATGGATAGTCAACGTTCTAGGCAAAGCTAATGGTCCCTACTAGACCCAGACCTCACATAAATCAGCAGTGCAGACAATAAGCCCTTGGGGAGTGGTCACGCTTTACATTTAAGCCTAAAAATTAGAAGATCTCCCCCAGTCTGAGAAAATGAGAATTTAAAAGGCAGGCAGAAGTAATACGAAAAAGAAATCAGGGGTTTGCAGTAAGTCAGGGATAAGGGCCCTGAGGGAAGGCAAAGGAGTAAAAAAAGAGGGAAGAAGGGAAGTAAATGGGGAAAGGGGAAGGAAACAGAAGAGGAGAGGGGAGGAGAGAAAAAATTCATTAGTAGCTTCAGGTTGGCCATCAAAAGGCTGAAAAAGAGACAAGGTTGAGCCCCAAGGAGGCCATCTTCACTCTTCACTCTTTCTTTCTGTGTTCAAACTTCCCAATATGCCAACATTATTCTGCTTCAAGTGGTGGGAACTTGGATCTCACACATTACAAGCTAAACACAAATACAAACAACCCTTTCTAAATAGTTCAGATTCTGTTCCCAAGCAAGTCAGGGAGCTCAAGGCTCTACCATGTCACTGAATTTCTTCCAAGCAATTTTTTTAAAGGACAGTTCAACTATATAAGAAACATCTGGCAAGCCTTCTTCCTTTTGATAAAATATACCAAGGAGAGCTGACTACACAGAACTTCAGTGTTTCTCAAACTTTTATCCGGGAAGATTGTTAAAAATTTTCATTCCCTGGTTCAAATCCAAAGATTCTGACTGAGAAGGACTGAGACAGAATTGTTTTAACAAATGCTTCAGGCAAGGGTTCACAGTGAACTTGGAAAACACCTTTTCTCTATTAAATCCCATCTAGCATGAAATCCTACATTTATAAAATAAAAGCAATAAAGTGAATGCTTGTTTTCTTATCTGACTGATGTGGCATCATAAGAGCACTTGGCAAACTGGGGTACAACTACCTCAGTATACACTTTCCACAGGAACAATCCAGAGCACAAACAGCTAAAGAAGAATCAGTCTCAAAACACTCAAGTCTCACATATAATTTTTTCCCCCCAGTACCAGGGTTCGAACTCAGGACCTTGCTCTTGCAAGGCAGGTGTGGTGCCACTAAGCTAAATCCCTGGCCCTTCACATATACTATTTCTTGACCTGAGCTGATGACATGTCAGATTTCTACTGGTTCACATTTTCAATCTCTCCTTGCATAACTGCCCTTCTCCCACTTTACATAAAAAGGTCTGTCTCTCGCTCATCTTGTAACATAGTACATTGTCTGCAGGCTTAAAACCTCCAGACTTTCCCAACTTATGTTACTCATCTGAACACACAACACAAAGGCTATTTTTTGTTTCCCTAAGAGTGACATGCAGTTAGTACCATTCTCAATGTACAGAACCCTATTAATCACAGATCATGAACCCCCTGGGCATTAGGGCTTAATTCTCTCCCAGAAACCTGTCAAGGAAGCAACTTAAAAAACTTTTTTTTGGACCGGGGATTTAGCTCAGTGGTTCTGCTGCCTGCCTTGCAAGCACAAGGGCCCGAGTTCGATCCCCGATACCAAAAAAAAATAAAAAACTTTTTTTTGGGGGGGGGGTGGATTAAACCTAGGGCCTCATGCATGCTAGGCAAGCATTTTATCACTGAGCTATACTCCTAGCTAAAAGCAACTAAATTTAAGAACAATGCTGTCAATGAGAGGTGGGATATGGTGGCGCATGGCTATAGTCCCAGCACTCAGAAGGAAATCCTAGCTACCTAACCCCGTAGGCAAGAAAAAGTAAATGCCCTATAGAACAAAAAGGAAGAAAAAGCACTCTTTGTAGATAACATGATTGCCTATGCAGAAAATCCCAAAGATTTGATCCCAAAGATCCCTCTCCCAAAAAGTAACAATTAAAGCAAGGTTACAAGACACAAGGTTATCATACATAAAAGATAAAAAGTCAGTCCTAAGCCAGGCATGGTGGTCCATGCCTGTAATCCCAGCACATGGGAGGCTGAGACAGGAGGATTGCCATGAGTTTGAGGCAGGCCTGAGCTACACAGTGAGTTCAAGGCCAGCCTGCACTACATAGTGAAATCCTGACTCAAAAAAAATACAATGAGAGCTACAAATGCAAGCCACATGTACTTTAAAAATTTTTAACAACCATACTAAGAAATTAGCCAATTATGCTGGTGCACATCTGTAATGCCAGCACTCTGAGATGCTAAGGTAGGGGGATCACAAGTCTGAGCTCAGCCTGAGCAACTTAGCAAGATCTTCTATGAAAGAAATAAAAAAGGGCTGGGATGTAACTCAATGTGAAGACGCTTGGTCAATCTCCAGTACCACCTAGGAAGGGGGAAGGAGGAAAGGAAGGAGGGAGGGTGGGAGGAATTTTAAGAATATAAATTACTTAAACTATCCTAGGCATGGTGGTGCAAACCTGTAATCTTAATACTTGAGAGGCTGAGACAGAAGGATCACCATGAGTTCAAGGCCAGCCTGAACTACATCATGAGACCCTATCTCAAAAACAAAAGAAAAAGTAATATATTACTTAAATTAATACATCTAAAAACATTTCAACATGTAGTCATTATACAAAAATTACTGGGAGCTGAACATATAGTTTAGTGGTAGAATGCTTGCCTAACATGCACAAGGCCCCAGGTTCAATCCCCAGCACAGGAAATAAAAGGGGTAGAGGGAGATTTTATATTCTTTCTTTTTTTGTACCAAGTATTTGAAATACAAATGTTTATTTTACACTTATAGTGCATCTCAATTCAGACTAGCCAATTTCAAGTACTCAACAGCCATAGATAGTGGCTGCCATGTTAGCAAAGATCTAGGCCTTCTTTAGATCTTAGGGCAAATCACTGAGGTACAATCACTGAAAAAGAAAGTTCCTTATTTCACTTGGGGACAAATCAATCTACTATCTACTTTCATATAAAATTATAACTCTGATGTGAGAAGGCTATTTATTGGGAGCAAGCACTTAAAACAGATTTGAAGTAAAATGGAGCTAGAGGTGCAGGTCAGTGGCAGAGTGTTTGCATAGTACACGTGGCACTGGCTTGATCCCTAGCACTGAAAAATAATAGTAACTAAATATTTTAAGGCAGACTTTTTCCCATACAAAGTAAGTCTGATGTAGCACTGTGGTTTGATAAGAAGGGCTAGCTCTGCATTCTGTATCATCAGGGAACAGTAAGTAACACATAATTTTTTCTTTTTTGAGACAGGGGTCTCACATTTTAGTTTAGGCTGGCCTTGAACTTACTAAGTATAGCCCAAGCTGACCTCAAACTCCGACTCTTTTAAATTCTTTTATTTTGAGACAGGGTCTTGCTAAGCCACTAAATTTCCCAGGCTGGACTTGAACTTGCCATCCTCCTGCCACAGCCTCTCAAAGTGCCAGGATTATAGGTATGCACTATCACGTCTGACTAGAAAGCTCAATTTCAAAATGCACCCATGCCTCCCTAGCTCCAGTATTCTTCTGGTCCTGCCTTCTGGTGACCACACCTTTTGTTTTTTTCCTTTGGGTTCTAGGGATTGAACCCAGGATTTCACATATGTTTAGCACACATTCTACCACTAAGCTACATACCCAGCCTTTGCCTACACCTGTTTTCTTTTTTCCCCTTTTATGTCTGTCTCATTAAAACTCTGGTTCTTATCCTAGGTTCTCTGCTTCCTTCCACTGAGGTCTTTTGAATAGACAAAAGCAAAAAATCTGAGCTCAACAGGCACTATCATGTAAGCTGAAGTAGCTGAGGACAGTTAACCACCACCCTGGATGATCAACTCCCCAAAGTGCCCACCTGGATACATTCCTCACTTAAATTCTGCTCTACCAGCACAACTTGTTTTCAAACCATAAGACAAAGTCACAAACACAGGAGACTGAAGTACAGAAAATACAAAGCACCACAAAAAGCCACAGAACACCAGCCTGGCACTGCCCACTGCAGAGCCCACTTGGGAAACTCACCAGTAGGAGCTATGGAAGGGGGTCTGCCTCGTTTTCTTTTTGGCTCCCTCAAGTTCTCTTGTGGACTCTTCACAATGTCATTTTCAGGTTTCTTGTCCACTTGGGTGTCTCCAGAGTACTCCCTGTCATTCTCTGAAATGTTCTCCTTATCTTCCTTCTCGTTCTTGGGAAGGTTTTTCTCAGACACCTTTCCTTTTTCAGAACAGATTAACTTTCCTTCTTTGTCAGGCTGCTTGGGTCGCTTTTCTGTCTTTAAGGCTTTATCCTCTTTGTCTTTCTTCACATTGATTGTGGCTTTTCTCTGCTCTTTAAACTTCTCTCGTTTATCAGGAGATGATGAAAGACTTTTGTGATCTGTTTCTTTAGGCCTAGCATTACCCACAATATTCTAAAATGAGCAAAATAGCAATGAAACACACTTTGTGATTACTTGCAAATACAAAATTAGGAGGCTGTTTGCAAATTTATGGTGATAAACAAAGAAATTAAAAGAGGACATGTGCCAGGTCACATAATGCAAAGCACCACTGAAAATATCCTCCTCTACTCTGAGGTTTGAGAACCAATGATAAACTGAAAGAAGACAACTGCCATGTTCAATTCCTTCTGAGACAGAGCAATCCCCCTTATGATGAACAAATCATTAGCAAATAAGTTAAAAGGACAGACAACTACGCAAGATCTTTTTCTGGAAGCACTCTTCTGACAAAGATGTTCTAAGAAAATGTATTAATGCTCTGTTTTAATCCTTAGCTTGATTCTACTGACCCAGGGCTTTTCAAAAGCCCAACTCAGTTATCCAGTGAATGCTGATGTCCAGTTTTTGTGTAGAGAAAAGCCTAAACTGGTAACTGGTAGTTGAACAGAAAAACTATTAAAATTGCCCACTCCGGCTGGCATATACCTGTAATCCCGGCTCTCAGGAGGCTGATGCAGTTGGATTGAAAAGTCAAGGCCAGCCTGGATTACAAAGCAAGACACTGTCTCAAAAAAAGATTGTCTAATCCAGAACCACAGGTAAAGGCTGTGCTCAATACAAGTTCCTGAGCTACTCTTGAGTTTATTTGTGCATGTATCTGTCTTCCAAGATCTAAGACAAAGCAGAGACTGTGTTCACATGGGATCCCAGGAGCCAGCATACACCAATAGTACACAGATTTTTACTGGAAGCAAGGAGTATATAAATACTTACTAAGCAAGTGAAAGCTTTATTTGTTCCATAGGGAAAAATAATACGCAAGAAAACATTTTGTGAAGTTCCAAAAATTATTCTGAAGAAAAGCCAGACACCCTCAAGCTTTTGGCAGAAATATAAACTGCAGATTGGTGTGGCAGCACACACCTGTGATCCCAGCACTCTGCGAAGATGAGGCAGAAGGATAGCAAGTTCAGCCAAGCCTGGGCGATTTAGCAGGACTTTATGTCAAAAAAAGAAAGGCAGAGGGTGCTTGGGATGTAGTTCAGTGTGAAGACCCTGCGTTCAATCTCCAGTACTGCCAATCAATCAATCGATCAATCTTGTAGCTTCCCTTACAGAAGGGAATGCATTGACAATTCAGGTCAAGACTTAAGTTTATACTTCTGAACTAGAATTAATTCTTAGAAACAGAATTTGTTGAAAGAATAATCAGACTTTTCTTCTATATTTACAAATATCCTGAATGACCATTCAGGATTGGTTATACAAAGGGTGGTTACATACATATTATAGAACACTACATAGCTATTAAAAGTCATATTCTGGAGCCGGGGACTTAGCTCAGTGGTTTCGCTGCCTGCCTCCCAAGCACAAGGTCCCGAGTTTGATTCCCGGTACCAAAAAAAAAGTGATACTCTCAAAGTACTAAGGAACCTGGGAAAATATTTTGTTAAGAGAAAAGAGTAAGTTGCAGAACAGTAATATATTACAACTCCAATTTTGAAAAGTATAGATCAAAACATTTAGTGCAATGTGATTCTACAGAAAAAAAAATTTTTAATTCTCTCCTCCTCCCCTTCTTCCCCCTCCTGCTCTTCCTCCCCCTCCTTCGTCTCTCTCTCATATATGTATACATATATATATGTATACATATATATATATGTATACATATATATATGAACTTTAAAACTGTCCACGACAGCTATCTTTAGTCAAACCACAAACCACTATATACCCTCTTGAAAAATCAAGTCCAAGCCAGTCCTGCTGGTGAATACCCATAATCCAAGCACTGTGGGAGGCTGAGGCAAGAAGGTCACAAGTTGGAGCCAGCCTAGGCAATTTAGTGACTTAATGAGACCCTGTCTCAAAATATAAAATAAAAAAAGGATTAGCTCAATGTAAAGGCCCTGGGTTCAGTCCCCACCAATCGAAAAAAAAAAAAAAAAAATCCAAGTGACCCTGGTCTGTGCTTGCTGACCTGCTTGATGAGATAGGGTAAGACACAGCCACTGGGAATTAAGTGAGGCACCCGCAAATCCTCAAATGATAAGGTAACCACTCCCAGCCAAAGTACCATGAGTGAGTGCTATCAATCAATTTACTGAATGTTATCTGGAACTCTGACTTTCTATATGGAGAGTTTGGGATCCAATCTGCCAATTCTGGTCAAATTTGATTAATTCCACAAATGTAACACAAAAATGCCACAGTAAAGGCCAAAATAACCTTGTGCAGTGTGCCTCCTTAGATGCCTGAGAGGCAAATAAAAAGAAAGTATCATCAGGGCTAAAGCTTTGTAATTTTTTAAATTTTCTGAAGAGGAAAACCAGCAAAGGGCAAGAACATTCTTGAGGCTACTTTTAAAGGTACATCTCAATCCTCAGTGTATGTACAAAAGAATTATGAAAATCTGTGATGAGTAGAAATATTTGATCATCAGAGGGTTAAGATATAACAAGTTACAAAACCATCAGATACTGTCCCCATCAACCACTATCCAAAGGCAAGTCTAAGTTATAATATCTCAGTAATAAAACCTTTATTTTATTTTTTGGTTTTTTGCGGTACCAGTTATCAAACTCAGGACCTTGAGTTTGCCAGGCAGGCACAGCACCACTGAGCTAAATCCCCAGCCATTTTGTATGAGACAGGGTCTCACTCTGTAGTTCAAACTGGCCTTGAACTCTTGGTGATCCTCCTGCCTCAGCCTTCTGAGTGCTGGGATTAAAAGGATGTATACCACCATGGCCAGCGATAAAACCTTTTATTAACTTGCTTTAATAAAACCTTTTATTAACTTGTTTCAACAGCTAAAACAATCAGAATTTTAAAAATCATTAATATCCAAATTTTGATCTCTACTTTCTCGAAAAAGAAAAAAATCATGAGGAAAGTATGTAAAACTTGCTCATATCTGTATGGCCAGTATTTTGGGTATCAAAATTCAGGCCCCATGCTCAGGCAAGTACTTGCTTACAATGTGAACAGGATATCAAGCCACAGGATTCTCAAACCAGGCACATCTAGCACAAGTGGATGCCAAATCTACTCCAAGTAGGTCTACAAACCATCAAGTCATGGACCTAAGTCATGGTCACCAGAAGAAAATGTGCTCTAAGTCTTCGGTGTTTCAATAAATTCTCTGTGATTGGTAACAGCTCTGGGGACAGGGCCAAGGGAGGAAAAAGAAAAGAAGAGTAACAATACACTTTTGAGAAAAGATGAGGAAAACAAAAAACACACAATGCTATCCAAGTACTCAGCACTTTTTAAAAAAAGATTCTGCGTTAAAAGGAAATGGTGAGGGGGGCTGGGGATTTAGCTCAGTGGTTCTGCCGCCTGCTTTGCAAGCGCACGGTCCCGAGTTTGATCCCTGGTACCCCCCCCCCCAAAAAAAGGAAATGGTGAAAGGAGACAAATATTTATAACTTCTGGAAATTTTTGTATTACTTTCTTGTGAAAGTGTGTCAAATGGAGGAAATAAAGACTTGCCATCGTAAATGTAAGGTCTTCATTTGAGGAAAAAAAAGAGTACAATGTTAGCATCATTCATAACACAAAGCACAAAACCACATTTCTCACCTGATCTTTGGAAAAAGCTTTGACATGAATATGTTTGACAGTCTGAACTACTCCATCATAAAATTTCACAGTGTAAGTACCTAAAATTCAAGAAGATATTATGATTTTTAACTCGCAGTTTCATGAATGCAGCAACTTTTCAAAGTATTAACACAAGGGAACTCTAACCACATAACAAATATATAAGCTAAAAAATTGTTTTAAGGAACATATATAGGGCTGGGATGCAGGACAGTGGTAGAGCACCTGCTCAACATGTGTGAGGTTCTGAGTCCAACATCAGGCACCCCCCAAAAAATCAAATTTCAAATTCAGTCATCTTATGCCCAAGTTAACACTATATTTGCCTTCTTAGTCAAGATTACAGTTTGCCTTTTATCTATGTAACTCAAAATCCATCCAAAAAAACTTTTTGTGATGTGTCATTAAAATAAAAATAATTTGCACTTAATTTAGGTCAAGATCACAGCGAAATAAAACAATTAAGAACGTTAGGAAAAATCAGACATGGCAGCACATGCCTGTAATCCCAGCACTGGGGAAGCTGAAGCAGGAAGATTGCTAAAGTTCAAGGCCAGCCTCAACTGCACAGTAAATGGTAGAGCACCCTGAAGTGCAAAGCAAGACGCTGTCTCAAAGATGAATGACAAAAAGCTGGGCATGTCAGTACACACTTGTAATCCCAGCACTCAGGAGCCTGAGGCAGGAGGATCACCTTGATTTTGAGGCCAGCCAGGGCTACACAGTGAGTTCAAGGCCAGCCTGAACTACACAGTGAGACTGTCTCAAAAAAAAAAAAAAAGTGAGGAAAGTGGATACTTATTTCTTTCTTCCTTGGTCATTCACTGATTTTCTTTTATATGTATGTAATCTGTATTTTCTGAATTTTTTTCCAGTACCAGTACTCAAACTCAGGACCTTGTGCTTGCAAGGCAGGCATGGTGCCACTGAGCTAAATCCCCGGCCCTTGTATTTTCTCAATTTGAGTAATATCTTTCTTTTTGTAAAAAGTTTTATTGGAAATAAAGAGAATAGCTCCTGGAGTTCCCCTCCCTTTTTTATTTTTTTTTATTTTATTTTTTTTGGTACAGGCGATCGAACTCGGGACCTTGTGCTTGGGAGGCAGGTGCCGGAACCACTGAGTTAAATCCCCGGCCCCCCCTCCCTTTTTTAAAGGCATGGTCTCACTAAATCACTAAATTGCCCAGGCTGAACTTGAGCTTGTCCTCCTGCCTCAGCCTCCGTAGATGCTGTGATTACAGAGTGTACCACTATACCTGGTGGGAGCAATGATACATTTTAAACTTTAAAAGTTCTGCTAAAAGTATCATTTTCTGAAGTTCCATTAACCTCAAAACTGATATGAATTATCTTTATAATATTTTAAAATAATGACCACCATGGGCCAGGGATTTAGCTCAGTGGTGCCATCACCTGCCTCGTAAGCATAAGGTTCCAAGTTCGATCCCCAGTACAAAAAAAAAAAAACAAACCAATAATGACCACCAAAATAGTAAATGCTGCCTGCCATATTATCAGTTTTTTTCTCCACTAGAAGAAATTACTCTAGCTGGGGATTTAGCTCAGTGGTTCTGCCACCTGCCTCGCAAGCACAAGGACCCGAGTTCAATCCCCAGTACCAAAAAAAAAAAAAGAAATTACTCTATTCAATAAGGATCATTCATTACACCCTGCTCAAAAAAACTGAAGCTGGAACCCCAGATAATATTTTTCCCCCTTCTTTTTTTTAGGGGCAGGTGGTGGAAGCACTGAGCTAAATCCCTGGCCCTCTTCTTTTTTTGATACTGGAGATTTAACTCACGGCCTCACTCATGCTAAACCTGAGCTCTACCACTGTACTACCCTCTCAGATCCCAAGTAATCTTATCTTCCCAATACTGCCTCCAACAAAAGGTCTCAGCAGTTGCACTCAAACCAAAGCTTTCAAATTTTTGCATTTTATTTTTTGGGGGGCCAGGGATTTAGCTCAGTGGTTCCACCGCCTGCCTCGCAAGTGCAAGGACCCAAGTTCGATCCCCGGTACCAAAAAAAAAAAAAAAAGGTATTTTTTGGTACCGGAGATCGAACTCGGGACCTTGCACTTGCGAGACAACACTGAGCTAAATCCCCAGCCCTCAAACTTTTGCCTTTTAGAACTAATCCCCTTTTCTTCTTTTTTTTTTTGTCCCAGGAATTTTTTTAAAAATCTTGTCAAGATTACCAGTGAACCACTGAAATCATGTAATAGGTTACCACTGGTAAACACAGTGCAGTTTTCAGGACCAATTTCCCACCTAATAAAAACTCCTGAGAGATGGGAGCAGAAGGATACAACAAGGAAGTTAAGACCTCCTGGTTACCACCTGCTTTTCTTTTTCTCTTTCTTTTTTTTTTTTTAGAGAGAGAGAGATGGAGTCCTACTATGTTGCCCAAGCTGGTTCAGAACTCCTGGGCTAAAAAATAACTTCCTCACCCTCACAAAAAAAAAAAAAAAAAAAAAGAAAAGAGAAAAAGAAAGAAAAGAAACAAACAAAAAAAACCCTCCTAGGCTTAAGAGTTTCTCCTGCCTCAACCTTCCAAGTAGCTGGGAGTATAAGTACAATGCCACCATGCCTGGCTTTTCCCCACTTCTTGTATACACTCTTCCCAAACCACCTCTGCTCCCATCCTCAATAGGGCCTTGTCAATGGTGAGCCACCTCTACAAAGTCCAAACACCTGTCTTTCTAGTATTCAAAATCCAACACATTCTGAAATAAATTATTTTGTAAGCCTATTTCTCTTTACTATCATCAAATACAAACTCTAAATGACCTGGTACTTGCTACCCACTGAAAATGTCTGTAACATTTCCATCTCTGCTTTTTTCTTTTTTGACTAGCACTGGGATTTGAACCCCAGACCTTGCTCGTGCTCAGCAAGTACTCTATCATTTAGCAACTTAGACAAATTCATCTCTATATCTTTATCAAAGTGTTTTCCTCCCTAGAAATGTGCACTCACTGATGGCCAGCTCAAGTGACCACATCAGTTCAGTAAGAGGTGCCTGGCTACCCAGCTACTGGCAAATTTCTTCTGCTCTTTTTTTTTTTTTTTAACTCTTCGGGGATCGAACTCAGGACCTTGTGCTTATGAGGCAGGCTCAGTACCATTGAGCTACACCCTGGGCCCCCTCTGTTCTTAACTTTTAAGACTCATTTGGTACCTGGTCTTCAGAGCTCCCCTGTTAGTTCTACCTTCATATATATGGATCATAATTTGAAGAAAGGCTCTTCAAGGCCAGACATCAGGTCTCACATCAGTTTCTTCCTCACACAGTACCCAGCTTACAGTAGACCAGTGCTTCTCAAAGTGTGACCAGCAGCCTGAGCAATCCTGGGAACTTGTCAGACATGCAAGTTATCAGCCCCACCTCAAAGAGACTGCACCAGAAACTCTGAGAGTACGTATTTTAACAAGTCCTCCAGGTGAGTACATGCACAGGCATGCCAAAATCTGAGAACCACAGCCAGAGACAATTAGTAATTACCTACTAACCTTTACTCCTGGGTATTAAAAACTAAAGATGCTTATTTATCACAGTTGTTACCAGTACAGAAGGAAACTGGCTAACAAGCAAAATATCAGGATACATACTTAGGCTTGCTGGAGTAAAACACTAGCAATGAAATGGCAGACTATGATAAAGGAGGCCTAAAGATGAAAACACAAGCCATTCTCCACTTAAGGTAGTTCAGCAATGACTTATGAGTCTTTAAAGCAAAGATCTTGATTCCTGGCTATATTGTGAGGGTGCTGGCAAGCAAAAGAGTAAAGTAAGCAAGCTATAGCATTCTAAACAGACGTTTCTCACGCAAAAACTGTCATTTTTACATTTCCAAAAATCAAAAGGACAATATTTAGTACCACCCAAGTCCAAAATTTTCAGCTATTTGGAGTTAATTTTGAGGCTTACTCCTTTTGATGAAAAGGCCCCAAGTTCCACAGTAAGTCTAAGAGCTCCAAGTTCCACAGTAAGTCTAACCCAAGCTTTCCTACTGACCCTGACAGTTCACTTCAGTGTCATACTGCCTTTTGTCCAAGCCACTCAGCTAAAGTCAAAGCCACAGTACCAACCGTCACTCAGACTGACCCAAACTATGGCTAGAGGTGCTCAGGGCCCATAGATATTATTCCTTAGATATTAATATTCTGGTCCTCACCATTTTTACTTCCCAAGGACTACAAGGGATCATCTGGAACTTCCTCCCTTGATCATGTGAAATACAACTTAACTTGGCTTGAATACATCATGGCCTAGGTTTACTTCTGGAGAGAAAATTCAAAATCTCACTTTCATGGTTTTATATATCACTGAAAGAATGTCTTCCTGTGGGATTCTCCCATGGGTAGCTGATAATAGCTCTCCTGTGGCCATAAAAAACATCGCACATGTAAATACCATAAGTCAAAATAAGTCCATCCTTGGCTGGGGATGTAGCTCAGTGGTAGATGCACAGCCGTGGGTTTCAACCTCATCACCAAAGAAAACATCACATAGAGCCAGGGATTTAGCTCAGTGGTGCCACCGCTTGCCTTGTAAGCGCAAGGTCCTGAGTTTGATACCCAGTACCAAAAAAAAAAGAAAGAAAACACCACATTCTGTTTTATCTCCTCTAACCTGGCTCTTTCAGGAAGTCTCTGTCCTTATTCATGCCAGGTGAAACAAAGCTTCCAGACCTTGCCCCTCCAAGGATTAAGAACCTGGCATATCAAATAATTTTAGAGCAATGAGGAATAGCCACAGGGGTGTGAGAACAGAACTACAGATATGTGGCAAGCTTAACTCCCTCAAGGAAACGGGAAAAAATAGGTGACTTTGGACTGGACAGATTTCTGTTGATTTTGAATCTGCTACAGCTGGAACTCTAAGGGCCCTTCTCCATCTTATTCATTCACCAAGAGTCAGAGAATTCCAAAAGCCATAAAGGTGAAACTCAAATTCTTCAGACAAGGGCTCCTAAAGTCCTGGGGTTCCCAAAGATATATGTATCTCATAGGGTGATCAGAGGGATATGCACATGAGTGCAGCCCACCTTCTT